AGGGGTGCGAATTGGCTTATTAACCCATTAGCTTATTCTCCTTCTAAACCCTACTTATACCTTATATACACCATTATGAGTATTTGAAAAGATATGTTTTTTCCATCTATATATGACAATTAGGGTTTTTATGAGAAACTTGTCTCTGCATTTTGGAAAGGATTAGTAGGCTGTGGACAAAGGGTTTCATCCGCTTTGCAAGGATTCTCGACAACCAATGATACAAGTTGTGATTATTGCAGATCCATTTTCATTAAAGAAAAACTTGTAAGTCTTCTAAACTAGTATTACATTGACCTGAAACCCACATTCACACTTGTCAACATAAAGAATGCCTCACACAACTTTCGTTGGTTGTGTCCCACACCAAATAAAATTTCTTCCAACAACCTCATACAAGGTTTCATATAGGAAAGATCGATAGAGACAGAGAAAAGGCTTCCAAAATAGAATAGGAACGAAAGAAAAGGAGAAATGTTCTCTTCAATTAACAACGCTAAAAGATCATACCAATGTGTCGTAGCATAATCATTCACTTGTAGAATGGTAGGTACACTCACCTTTCTTGTAAATGACAAAATAAATAATTCTAGAGACTTACTATATTATAAGTGAAGCTTGGTACGACAAAGGGCAAAGTGGTAAATCACTCTGACTTGTAGATTTACAGGTGTCCTATTGTATATACCACATTGCTTTAATTTTGGTCCATCCTTTTGGTTTATTCTCTCCCATCGATGAAAGCAACTATTTTCAGAGCTCTTCATTCTCATCTCTCTCTTCATGGTAAGTTCTTCTTCTTCCTTTTTTCGAGTTGGAGGGGAAGCTGAGGGTTATGGGGGCCTGGAGGAGTAGTGGGGACACAAGTTATATGTGGTCGATGACGACGAACTATATTAGGGAGGTTGCGAGGGAGGTGTTAGGGGTCTTAAAGGGTTACTTTGGCGGGCACAGAGGAGATTGATGGTAGAATGAAGAGGTTCAAGAAAAAGTGAAAGCAAAGAAAGTGGCATACTTGAATTTAGTGGAGAGTACAGACGAGGGGGAGAGAAGAGAGAACAAAGCAAGGTATAAGAATGCTAGGAAGGAGGCGAAGCTAGCGGTCAATGATGCCAAGAATGCAGCGTTTAGTCGTTTGTATGAAGAGTTGGGGGACAAAGGCGGGGACAAGAAGTTATTTTGGTTTGCCAAGGCGAGAGAGAGAAAGGGTCGTGATCTGGATCAAGTAAGGTGCATCAAAGACGAGGAAGGCAGAGTCTTAATGGATGAGGCTATGATTAAAAGGATATGGCAGACTTACTTTCATAAACTTCTGAATGAAAAAGGGGACAGAGACATTGTGTTCGGTGATTTGGAGCACTTTGAGAGTCGTCATGTTTTTAGGTACTGTAGGCACATTAAGGTTAAGGAGGTCGTGGGAGCTATGCGTACGTTGAACAGGAGCAGAGCGACTGGGCCGGACGAGATACCGGTTGAATTTTGGAGGTATGTCGGTATAGAGGGCCTGAAGTGGCTGACCGAGCTGTTCAATGTTATTTTTAAGACGGAGAAGAATGTTTTCTTGTTGGGAAGAGTTAGAAATGGTTCCTCTTAGGAATACTCAGCTGCAGAAGCCATGGCTTTCCATTTTCTTAATGTTTCGTCAATCTGATCGTGTAGGCGAGCTTTCAGATCTTGAAGTTTCTTATTCTATTGGTACTCCTCTTTATTACAATCATCAACTGAAGTAGATACACAATTTAATGATGATGCAAAAGCCAGATTATATTTCGAGTCTATAATATTCATTTTTCTTTGATAGACAGTTATTGGTTGGGATGAAAATTGCAAACCACTACTTAGTCTTCAACTTCAGGTATCTATCGAGGAGGAAAACTCACGCATGCATATATATCACCAACCATCCAGTAATGTACAAAAGAGTTGACCTGCATGTACAAAATCGAGCCAGAACTGCCTGAAAGAAAAATAAAACTAAATATACTCTTCAATTCCAAAACTAGGAATCATTGAAACAAATAAAGAAGGAAGAGAAACCCAAAAACCTCTTATATAGTGTAGGCAGTGGAGATAAAGTTGAAACTAAATGGGTAATTTTTTAAACAAAAAGCAATAAACCAGAAGCGAAGGCCCCAAAGCAGGAAGATCCGGAAAAAATGCAGAGGATGAGAAAGAAAGTGTTAGTTTTTTATGGCCAGGTTAATTATCCTTCAAATTTTAATGTAGTCAAAATAATTGATTTTATATTAATATTTTTAGATGATCATTATTTTAGCTGTAACAGTTGATTCGTACAGTTGATTCGTACAACATGGAATTGATGTGCCTCGACAGGAGCAGTGGGGTACTTTTTGTTGGTTGTTTCAGGTCTCGAAGGCGATATGGGTCCAATTAGTTTATATAAAATAAAAAAGAAAATAATTCTTGTTCCCTTTTTAATGCTGGATAATATCGAGAACAGATATTTATTGGTAATTGAGCTTAGACCTACACAATTAGATATCAAAATAACCGAAAATGAGTACTAAACTAAGTATTAGATGGTTAACAATCAAACTTTTTATCACTCATTATTAATGTTTTTAAGTAAGAAACAGAAATGCTTGAAACAAGAGAGCGGTAGGGCACACGTAAGGGTGTACCAATAAAATCGACAAATCGCACTAACCCTATAATTCGAGTCAAACCGAAAAAAAATGACTATGATTTGGTTTGGTGTTGGAAAAAAAACCCGATCATATTTGGTTTGGTTTGGTTTGGTTTGGTTTTAACTAAAAAAAGTCAAATCGAAACCAAACTATGCCGACATTATATGTATAAAAGTTTTAAATATATTTAATACATAAAAATATTTACTGTAGTGTAGTTTATAAATATTTCTTAAGCTTTTTTCATAGTTTTATCTTTTAATTTATTATTTCAAGTTTGGGCTTATAATTTTTGGATGCTCCAACATGTTTTATACTCCATAAATGTTAGTAACTCAAATAAATCCTAAACCAAAATCAAATCAATACTAATGCTAATAAAATATTCAACTCAATTGTACTATGAATGAAAATAGTATTGGATATCTATTTTTTAGTTTTTCCATGGTTTAGATAAAATGTACTATAACTTATTTTTCTTGTAGTGGTTAGTCATGTAAATAATAGTACTTATTAGTCGTAATTTAAAATTATGTTTGTTTTCATTATGACTTATTAATAATATTTATTTTACTGTTGAATATTTTAGTACAATGTCATGACTCATCTCATATTTATGTTATTTTATTGAAAAACAACTTATATAGTTATGTCTTACTAGGATAAAAGAAATATTTGGAGTACAAATTTTACGTTTTGTGATATGAAGACTTTATGAAAAAAAAAACCGAAAAAACCCAAAAACCCAAACAACCCGAGATTAAAAAACCTGACTTTTACTGGTTTGGTTTGGTATTTAGATTTGATAACCCGATACAATTGGTTTGGTTTGGTAATTAAAAAATCCGAACCAACCGGGCCTATGTCAGGCACATGTAGGGCACTAAATACAGCAAGAGTTCAGGATTTAGCCTCCTAAATATAGACTTACAAATGCATGATAATATCATAACAAAACCTTTGTAATATCTCGAGTAAGAGTTGATTTTTCACGATTCTTTTACATGATCCACAGTTCAGATGGTTCCAGCATTTATGAGTTCAAGTGGTTATGGCTCTTGCTCAATCCGTATAGCTATGAAGTAAATCAATTTATTATAACACATTTTGCTGTCAATACATTATTGATACAAGTTAAACTGTTAAAAAGTACTTCCTTTCTGAAATAGTGTAGAGAAACCCATCTTTGTTTTGCTTTGCTAGCTTGAGTGTTGAATATCTTTTAATGCCTTTTTCTGATAGATCATGACATTGTGATAGGCACCATTTATACAGGAATGATCTTTTGTGCACTTACTGGTCAGGGTCATGCTTAACAGTTCAATGAGATCATTTCAGGTTATTTCTATGTTGGAAAGGATTAAAGTGAAAGGAAGTCACTCTTGATTGAATGTGTATTATGAATCATCACATCAATGACCGAGCCACTTTCTCTTATAGATATTGTTTATGCGACGTAGTATCTAAACAACAGACTTGGAATAGGATAAAAATACATTTCACTATGGTAAATATTTTAGTTACTGAAATTTTATGGTCTTTAGGGTACTTGAATTATGCCTTTGTATTCTCACTGAGTAATATTGGTCAGCATTGAGTTGTAGAAACTAAGTAGTATTCCGACTACCTTTCCAATGACTGGCGCTCATAAGCTAAACTTATGAATTTTATTTACAAGCTTAATATTTTGTACATAGCATTTTGATATCAATTCATTTGCCGGTGAAGGAAACATTGAATATGTATTAATAATTTGGTAAATTCGAATTAGTGAAGCATACTGTTAAGCATCGCCGGTATAAATTGGAACAGTATCTCTTCTTGCATTTCTTGTATTTGGCATTAATTAATGTTCTTTTTATGATGCATATTGTCTTTTCATATAGTTTATTTTTATTTTCCTTTCTTTCCTTGATGTAGTTGTTTAAATTGGTACCTTACATTATATGGCTATTGGCATTTGATCATTTCTTCATAATTCTACCGCTGTCAATATTTTTGTCACAGAAGACTATTCACGTGATGGAAAATGCCACCCTTGTTGTCGATATGTAAACAGTATAATGTAACTCTCATGGAAGCAGGTTGAAGAACATGTTGTGTTGTAGATACATATCTCATATGTTTTGCAGTTCTGTTTTTCAAAATAATGTACATATCATGTAGCGTTAATACACTGCTAACTTTTAGCTAACTTGATAGTCTTACTACTTCCTTTCCCGGTAATGCTGCTAGACAATTAAATCAAGTATGAAATTATGTTCTCCATGTTAAAACTTTTAGCTAATCTTATAGTTGTGTAAATAACACAAACAAAGATGTCACGACGTGTCAAGCATACGGGCCATCTAGTTAAAAGAAAAAGAGAAACTTCTTTGCTTTATTGCTTAGTCTCAGCATTCATCAAACTCTAATACACTTTGTTTTGATACATCAAGCTCTCATACATTTTCACTCTTCCAGTATGAACACAAGGTAAATGTAACATATCCTCAAGATTTAAAAGAAAAAATATTAGTACAGCGATTCATAATTTAAGTAAAAGAAGAAATTTTGTCAACATAGCAACTTAAGCATTCTACATATTTAGTAACTTAATGAGCTTTGAGATCCAAGCCTCCTCTTTCTGAGGCGTTCAGCGATAATAAAGGCGAGTTCAAGGGATTGAGATGCATTGAGTCTAGGATCGCAGTGGGTGTGATAGCGTGAGCTCAGATCATCGAAAGTCACGGTCCTTGATCCACCAATGCACTCTGTTACATTTTGGCCGGTCATCTCTAGGTGAACTCCTCCTGGATGGCTTCCTTCTTGCTCATGCACGTCAAAGAATGCTCTCACTTCAGCCTGTTCCCAAGAAGAGTGCAATGTAAGACGTGTGCTTTATTGTCAATGTTGTAATGTGAGGGTTAAAACTTCATCCAAAAGCTCTAACAAAAGAATACAATATTCTTAACTGTTAAGACATGTAAGTTGATGTAAACTTTCAATCATTTTTAAGACAATTATACTGTTACAATATCGAGCGTCATTGAAAAAAAAGGAAATCTACCTAAAAGACTGGATCTCAAAAATAATCCTTGTGGAAAGAGACAGACAACCACCAACCTAGCTGAGATATATTTAAATCCACCATATGACAGCTTAAGAAACATACTTTTGACTGAACACACCCTTCCAAATTCAGTTTTACATTCTCTTACCTACCCATATATCTCTCATACATTCTTTGCCCTAGTCTAGCAAAGAAAAAGCAGCTACTCTTTCTATGAACAACTAATATTCCCATCATGAAAGATGGTCCCCCCGCGAATTAACACAATCATTCAGCTTGTCAAATTATATGGTCCAAAGAAACGGACTTTTTCAGCTGCTCGGTCTATAACTGCTGGTACCTTTCCTATTGGCTGTAGAAGTGAATTCTAAGTGTGGTCCTTCCTTAAATATGAATAGGCACCACCATAAAGGAGATGATTAAGATCAAAGTATAGGAAGTATGCAATTACTTGAAGGCAGCAAATTTTGTGAATTCAAATTGTCTTTCCAGTATAACCTCGGGTCTCACCATCCTAAAGGGTATGTATGATATAACGAGTCAGGAAATTCTGAAGGAGGTATGAGAACTTACCCTGATGGCATCAAAAGGTCGAGTTTTCAGACCACAAGGTGCTTTAATGGTATTTCCATGCATAGGATCAGA